TGCCAAAGGAAGATGCCCGAATGCAACAATTTTTTCTTTATTAATCTTTTTAATTAATCAAATTAGATCTAAAAAAAATAGGACTTACCTAAATAATCTTGAAATTTGCATAGAGAAAAAGTTAAGTGGTCTATTTTCAATGGCACAAAAAAAAAGAAGTAGATCTAGACTACAATATAATGAAACTTGAGCATAGTTTACTAATAGACAGGCATCAAATCGCCAAAAAATGGATGAAAAACAAAAAAGGAAGTTAGAGCGCGAGCTATATGTACTAACTATCAGTAAAATGATGAATTTATACAAACACTTATCTGCAAAACAACTTGAAGATTTAAATGATGTGATGTCTGAAAGAATTGTTGGCAAAAACTCTGTCACGACTGGTATGATACTGACTCGTCAAAGTCTATCACTTATGATTGTAGAGTGGAAAAAGTAAACAAGAGACAAAATGATAGAATTTACACTATTTCTTACTGGAAACAAGATAAAACTGATATTGAAGCTGTCAAGTATAAAATAAAAAAAAATCCAGCAAGCTGCTGATGTTGTATAAGGGAAGTTACTATTTTCTTAGTTTGAAATAATGGAAAAATGCTTGAATATTAAGTTCTGCAAGTTTTGTGGCTTACAAACAAGTACCACAAGGTTTGTGAATTGCAAATAGTTACAGCAAATTTTATGGCTTGCAAACAAGTAGAGCAAGTCTTGTGGCTTGCAATTAGGTAAAGTGTGTTTTGTGGCTTGCAAATGGATATCACAAGTTTTGCAGCTTGCAATTAGGTACAGCAAGTTTTGCCGCCTGCAAATGGGTACCACAAGTTTTGTGGTACCCATTTTTCATCTCATTTTTTTTTTTATTTCAAAAGACTTGCTGTTTTTGTGTGTGTGTGTTTTTTTTTTAATTGGAGTGGGTAGTCCTTTACAAAATGTATACTCTGATACATCTTCTAATGTGGTAAAATAAATTTTATAATTTTCTGTGTTCAAAAAAGCATTTTTAAACATTTTTTGTTAAATTCTCATAAAAAAACTTTTTTTAAGAAAGGAGCAGAAGGGGGCAGCTTAAGCCCCTTTTTATGAAGCCAATTTATACACCACTCTAGATACTATTTTTTCAAGTGTAGAAATATAATTCTTTTTTTTACAAAACTTAATCGTTTTAATAAAGATTGATATACTTAAAAGAATGACATTTTGATAGGGTGTGCTAAACCTTACCCACAACCCAACACCCGACTTTGAGATAGACCTGTTATACTCGCTCGTGATGTGTAATAAAATAATAACTTTTTGTATATAAATACTTATAATTTTTAAAATAAAAACACCATTTTATAAGAAAAAAGTATATTTTTGTGAGGTGTAGGTGGTGGACTAGCACCCCTCAGCTTTTTTTTACATCTATTTTTTGGTATCAAGATATAGATATTCGAATTATATTTGGCAAAATTATTACAATTTATGTAAAAAAAATGTTTTTTTTAATATAAATTTATCAAGAAATCCATATATCGACTAAAAACGTCATAACTTTTTATAGAATTGTCTGTTTTCCATAATTTTTTCACCTTTAAAATACTGTATTTGAGGGCTTTCTAATGATATACAAAATTCTAGTTTTGATCAATTTAAAAAAATCAGTTAACGTACCTATATACATACATATATATATATATATATATATATATATATATATATATATATATATATATATATATATATATATATATATATATATATATATATATATATATATATATATATATATATATATATATATATATATTGCTAAAAAATGGGTAGTTAAGGAGCACTTTCTTAGGGTCGAAAGTCTATATATATATATATATGTATATATATATATATATATATATATATATATATATATATATATATATATATATATATATATATATATATATATATATATATATATATATATGTATGTATGTATTATATACAACATGTTAAAATTGCTTTGAACAAAAAGCTAAAACTATTCTTTGAAACATAATGCAAACAAACAAGGAATATTAAAATAATTAAATAAAACCTAAAAACATTTAAACTATATTACTATAAAATATGTATTAAACTATAACATCATATTATAATCTAATACTATTAATATATTGTATTATAAATAAAAACTTTTAGAACACATGTGTTGTTATAGCTTTTGAGAGCATTGTAGGAAGATCTTTTTCAGATATGACAAAAGTGTTCAAAACAAGGACGGACTTGAGATTTATAGAGATAAAAAAAAAATCCTGAGTAAAAAAATGGCGAGCAAAATAAAAAGATGCTTTAGCCGATGCTAGTTTTGCAAAGGATTTAATATATGGTTTCCAAGAAAGATAAATCGTTAATTAATCACAGTTAATCCAAAAAAACAAATATTAGATGGCTCATCGAATACGTTACCGTTCATTAGTATAGGAAGATCTAGATTATTCCAATTATGATTAGCTGAAAACAATTGAGTTTTATCTGAGTTAAAATTCACCAGCCACTGAGAGCCCCATGCTGTAGCAGAATTGAGTTCTTTTTTAAGCTCAAATGCCCTCTCCAAACGATCTGATAGTGTTGGCTTCTTATCAAGACAAGAATTAATGTTAGTATCATCAACTTTAGATATGAGAATTTCTGGGAGGTTCTTAATGTAAATTAAAAAGAGTATAGGGCCAAATATAGAACCTCGAGGAGCCCCTTAAGTTACAAGATATGAAGAATTAACTTCAAATAACCCAAATTTCGATTACTGGAAATTAAAATTACAATAAAACTTTAAACTCTGAAGGCAATAAAGATAAGAATTTTTGTCTACTTTTATTCACTTAAAATTGTGAGCTAAAAAATATTTTATAAAACTAATTTTTGAGAAAAAAATTTAGAATAATTGGTTTTAATACCTAAAGGGTATTTTAATATATTTTTATTAATTGACTGTTCTCGGTTAAAGGTCCATCAATTTCTACACGTTGTATAATACAATTTATCTAAAAGTTTATTATGCCTTTGGTGTTGAATGCTTTGGACAAGTCAATAAATGGGGAACCACCTATTTTGCCATTATCTAAATTTTTTTAAATTGAGGCACTAAGTAGAATAATTTTTACAGAATTCAAACTCCGCCTTGCCTGATAGTAAACTTCATTTTAAGCATTAACGAATTGAAAAATAACAGTGATTTCAAAGTTTTAGACATAACAGGATGATTCGATATTGGGTAGTTATTTAGATCATTAATTAAATAAGATTTATGAATTAGAACTATTTTTCCAGTTGCATTTTTTCACACATATGGTAACGTTGCAGTTGTAAAAGAGCTTATATAAGTCAAAGGTCCTACAATGACTGAAGAAGTCTCGCTTAAATAAGCAGAAGGTATTTCATCAATTGATTTTTTTCTATCTAAAACAGAGGAAATAAATCAATTGATTGATTTCTTATGTTTCAGTTTGTTATCTAACAGTTGCAAAAAATAATATGACGTACCGAATCCCTGTTAAGGAGTAATAAAGAAATTTTCTTGAAAGAGAAACCAAGTTAAATTATTTTTCAAAACTTTTTTGGTCAATTTGCATTTTCACATAATAGCTATGGTTACATTGTTTTTCTGTTCGTATTTTGTTATTACAAAAATGTTTACAAAACTTATGATATTAAAAATGTTGACTTTTTAACAATTACTTAATTAAATAAAATAGTGAACGGTTTCAACAAATTAAAAGATTTCAACAAATCAAATCGCTAGATTAATTTCACTTTAACCAATAAACTTTATAGAAAACTTACTTTTTATAAAGATTCGCCATTATTGGAGAATCTAGAATCTAGAGCAGTGTTTTTACCATCACTACTTTTTTTTTTTTTAATTTGAATTTTCATGCTATATTTTTCTATACAATGTTCTTATATCCCAAGATATTGTTGACTTAGCATAGAAACAGCCACTAACAGTCATTAAGGCTAATCCAAAGTAACGTCCGTTATTGCCCAACATTTTTGCGTACCGAAGTACTACTCAAGCGCTAATTTGGCAATAGCAGGATTTGAACCCATATCGTTCAACAGTCCGGATTTTAACTTTTCGTTTGACGCTCTAACCAATTGACCTAACCTGCCTACTGCTTTTATAATAAATATATTTATATTATAATAAATATAAATTCTAATCATATTTTTAAAATGTTAAAAAAAAATAATAATAAAAATATTTTAAACGTTTTTCAATTATGGAGTAAAACATTCTAATTCTATACTCAAAAACTATTTGGTTTCCTTTGCACACAGTATTTATTTGAGAATATCAAAACACCTGTAATTTACAGGTGTTTTAATTACTTATTTCACGGTATTAAAATTACAAACTAAAATCAATAACTGTAAAACAGTATTAAAAATAAATCTTTTATTTTTGAAGAAGCAACGAAAATTCAACAAAAGCAGCAAATATGATTCTCCGCATATCGTTTGAACATTGACAAACTAGTTGATTCAAAAAGTATAATTTTCAAAAAAAATAGTATTTGCAAAATTAGTACATCCAATGGAAAATTACAATTAATTTTATAGTTCTAAAATTGCATCAAAACAAGCATTAAAATATATTGCATCAATACAAGCAATAAAATTAATCGCAACAGTGCAATCATTTTCGGTAGTGGTATAGTGGTAGAGTGCTCGCTTCATAAACGAGTGGTTACAAGTCCAATCCCCACCACGTCCCTGGTAGTACCGCGCTCAACTCGTTTTTCAGCGCAGCGACCTTGTTCATCAAGGTTCGTGTTTCGGAGTTATAGAGTTGAGAGAGGGTTATAACCACAAATAAGTAGCCTCCTCTTCTGTAGTGGCCTTCTCGGCCTTAAGGAGGTGAATTAAATAAAAAAAAAAAAAAATTTCAATGCTGCAATCTTTTGAAATATTAAAAATAATTAAAAATGGTACAACCAATGATTTAATAAAATAATTTAAAATGAAGTATAACTTACTTTTCATACCAGCTTTTAATGTTAGGTTTTTTTGTATATGATTTTTGATACACAAACATTTGGATGAATTTAGGATAAGTTCGATCTAATATGTTTAAGTAATAAACTTTTCTCTGCAAAACTCTTAGGTATGCATTTTTCCGCACGGATTCGATATCACCAACAGCTAAACCAACCTACCAATCAAATTAAGAAAAATGACTTGTCAAAATAATGGTAAAATTAAGGTCAATATTAAACTTTAAAACAACAAATTACCTAATATTTTAAATCTAAAATTATGGGCTATCAAAGAAACATATCAAAAAGAAACAGATAAAAATTAATTTTGTACAGAGCATATCTCAAACTTCTACAGATCTATAATTGGTCTCAGCCTATCAAATACCATTTGAGACTTAATTATTTAATATAAAGAACACAGTCTGCATATTTAAGACATGTTTTACTTTAATTAAAGTCGCAGAATTAGAATTTAAGTCATAGTAAACAAGAAAGCCACTGTAAACAAGTAAGTCACAGTAAACAAGAAAGCCACAGTAAACAAGTAAATTATAGTATACAAGTTACAGTTAACAAGTAGGTTACAGTTAACAAGTCACAGTTAACAAGTAAAATACAGTAAACAAGTTACAGTTAACAAGTAAGTTTCAATAAACAAGTTACGGTTAACAAGTAAGCTACAATTAACAAGAAAGTTAAAGTTAACATGTAAGTTAAAGTTAACAAGTAAATCACAGAAGTTAATTTAAAAGACTCAAAAAAAGCTCGTTTAAAAGACTCAACAAAAGTTAATTTAAAAGACTCAGCAAAAGTTAATTTAAAAGACTCATCAAAAGCTAACTTAAAAGACTCAACAAAAAATAATTTAAAAGATTCAACAAAAGTTAATGTGAAAGTCTCAACAAATGCTAATTTAAAAGACTCAATAAAAGTTAATTTAAAACCCTCAGCAAAAGTTAATTTAGAAGACTCAAAAAAAGCTCATTTAAAAGACTCAATAAAAATTAATTTAAAACCCTCAACAAAAGTTAATTTAAAAGACTCAACAAAAGCTAATTCAAAAGTCTCAACAAAAGTTAATTTAAATGACTTAACAAAAGCTAATTTAAAACTCTCAAGAAAAGCTAAGTTAAAAAAAATCAATAAAAGCTAATTTAAAATTCTCAACCAAAGTTAATTCAAAAGACTCAACAAAAGCTAATTTAAAAGACTCAGCAAAAGCTAATTCAAAAGTCTCAATAAAAGCTAATTTAAAATACTCAACAAAAGCTAATTTAAAAGACTTGACAAAAGGTAACTTTAAAATTTCCAGAAAAACTTATTTAAAAGACTCAACAAAAGCTGATCTAAAAGACTCAACAAAAGCTAACTTCAAAATAAAATATTATATTAAAATTTTAAATAAAATATATGTAAAATAAAATAAAAAATTTAAAAACAGTATCTCCCCCTCCCCTCCCTACTAAATGGACTGCTTATTAGTAATAGTAATACTAATATATTTAAACTGAGATTGGCCCCGTAAAAATACGGGTCTTTGTATATTTCTATTCCAAACCGAAATTTTCTATACTTTTTCAATATATATTCTACCTTTCCGGATCCGTAAAATACAGGTCTTTACCAATTTACATATCTATTTAAACAAGCAAAAAACTTACCATGCGCAACTTTTCCGCATACGTAGAGCTTATAAGAGGCTTATAATTAGGTGTTTTTTTTTCTGCTTAATGCATTTCATTGATAGCGCAGTGGTTAAATCCCCTGCCATCAGTGTTGTTTTGCAGGGTTTAAAATTTCCTGTTATTATTGTGTTATATTATTTTATAAATTTTGAAATTTTTTCAATCTTGCTTATATATTCATAGCAAAAACCTAAGAATATAGAAAAAAAGATTTCTAAAATTTGAAATAAAATTTTCAAGTTTTCTCATTTTATAGATATATAGATGATATACGCGATTAATACATAAAATGCCTGCAAACTTAACATAAAGACCTTTACACTTATATTAACTTGTACGTAACACTATACAAATGAAATTAAGAAGATCTAAGAGCACTAAACCAAAGTTATAAAAAAAATTAATTCTTATGATTAAGAACTAAAAGAGTATTAAACGCTTATCTAAAAGTTAAGCCAAAATGATTTTGGGCAATGACGTCAGTTTGTGGCAAAGTAAACCTTTATGCGTCAAGTTTCCTTTTGCATTTGTCTTACATTTTTTTAATTAATTTTTATTATGTTGCATACAAATGCATTAAAATATATAAAACTGGTACAGATATATCATTTTTACGGATAAGAGATTGTATTTATTACAACAGTATTAAATAAATACTTTTTGGGCCACCCATAAAGGACTTCATAATTTTTTTGCCAATTTTTGACTCCTTTACCCCTTCTTTATCACCTGTTGTCCTATTTCCCTATACCCCCTTGAAAACGTCATAAAATCCTGCCCTCCCCCATTTAATCCCCCCACTAAATTTTTTTTTATCTCGCAATGATGTTAAAATCAGCTGTTACACCTTTAAAAAATATATAAAACTGGTACAGATATATCATTTTTACGGATAAGAGATTGTATTTATTACAACAGTATTAAATAAATACTTTTTGGGCCACCCATAAAGGACTTCATAATTTTTTTGCCAATTTTTGACTCCTTTACCCCTTCTTTATCACCTGTTGTCCTATTTCCCTATACCCCCTTGAAAACATCATAAAATCCTGCCCTCCCCCATTTAATCCCCCCACTAAATTTTTTTTTATCTCGCAATGATGTTAAAATCAGCTGTTACACCTTTAAAAAATAAAATTAAAATATTTTCATACATAATCTTATTAAAATCACATGTTTACATAGTTTTTCAAGTTAATTAAACTAAATTAAAAAACCTATAAAGTGACGTCCTTTTCTGACAAACTCCTCTCGGCTTCCCTTGTTCTTTTTTGTCCTTTTTATCTCAAACCCTCTCCCTCCCTATTTGGATGACTTTCTTTATGGATGGCCCCTTTTGTCTTTATTAGAATATATCCCATAAAAATGTATTCCATATATTTTTAATAGAGTTTTTATAAAAAATTGAAATAAAATCTTATTTTTATGACTATCATTTTTAAAGGTCTAAGAAGCAGATTTGCTCCTCGAGAGAGGAGCAAATCTAAATTTAAAGTTTCAAATTTTCTTCTCGGAAGTGACAATATGTTTCGTGTTTTTTAATCTTGTCAATTTTTTAATCTTGTTAATATAATAACATAACTGCAAAAAATAAAAAAAAACAGCTTGAGCGAAATAGACTTGTAATTATTAGAAAAGATTACTTATATTACATACGATCCCGAATAAAACGATTTTTTACATTTTATAAACAATATATATAAACAAATAGCATATATGTTTATATATATAGAGATGATTATTTATATAGAGATGGTTAAGCGCAACAACAAAAAAATTAGTTTATATTAGGGATGCATCAAAGCTAAAATTTTGCCGAAGCCGAAGCTTCGGCACTATATATGCTTAAAATTTAATCAGCATTCAGATCAGCAGGGGTGTAAAACAAAAAAGGTACCAAAACTAAGGTCCTCGACTAATAATATAGAAAAATCGTATAAAAATCAGGACGCCAGTCAGGGTTGCTGTCCCAGGCAAGGCAAAAGCTCTCAGCGCCCCTGTTTGAAAGTTTCTCATTGTGTCGTTTCTGATACTTGACCGCACCGAGCGTTTTTTTTTTAAACTTTTAAAAAAACTCTTTCTTTAAATAAACACTCTTAGCTGATCTAGTTGCATCTACAACATAAAAAATCTTACAAACACACTTTATCTTTTTATTACTATTTATTTCAATATCTTTTTTTTACTTCTCTGTATTCATTAAACGAAGAATTTCTAAACTAAAAAACCCCAAGTTAAGACCATTTTGTACTCCACTACAACTGTTGTGAACCTGCTGCTAAAAAAAAGTACAAATGATAGATTTTTTTTTTTTTTTTGATTATTTTTAACTTTACACTACATAACATATTCTTTAGCTTCTTTTAATCTTTTTCACTCTGAAAGTTTTCATCCTTCTTCTGTCTCTGTAATAGATAAATCTGCATCAGTGTCTGAAATCAAATATTAACTATCTGTGATAAAAGCTTTCATAGTAATCTAACAACTCTGTAGAGTGAGCTTTAAATGAATTTTTTGAAATCAGTGGTAGGTTTGAATCAGTGAACCACTTTGAATCAGTGGTAGGTCATCGCAAATGGCGGACGTATTTTTCTAATGGTAAAAAATAAATAAAAGAAAAAGGATAAGATAAACAGTTAATTTTTCATTTTCAATTCCCTAAAAAGTTTTTGTAAAATAGTTAAAAATCTGATTTAAATCAAACGCTTAAAAAAAAAAATCAAATAAAAAAAAGAACTTCGAATTATTAAAAAAAAGAACACTTTACACAAAGAAAAGAACAAAGAAAAAAAAAAAAAAAGAAAGAAAGAAAGAGAAAGTAAACAAAGAAGAAGAAAAAAAGAAGAAATAAGTAAACAAACAAGAAAGAGAAGAACAAAACCAATTTTAAAGAGAATAAAGAAGATTGGTTATTCATTTATTTTCGCGATTTAATTTGTAATTATTATTTTTTAATATAATTATTTAACTTATTTGTTATTTTATTATTATTGTTATTTTTTTTTTATTTTTTTTTTGCTTTTTCACATATTTTTTAATTATTTATTTATCATTAATTATATTCATTAGTTCTAGTTAATAAGGTTTTCCCGTTATCTATCTGAGTTGTATTATCACATATTATTTATTTATTTATCATTAGATTATCTATTTAGGAGGTTTTGTTATATATTTTATTATATTTAAATTATTTTACTATATATAATTTTATTATATTTTTTGATCATTATTATAACTTTACCATTATTATATATTCTTATACATTTATTTATTATGGATTTATATTATTTTAATTTTATCTATTGTTTTATTTTATCTTAGTTATTAATTAATATTATAAACCTATACTCTTTATTTATGATTTCGATAATAATTAACTACGTACTACTACTGATTACTGTTGCTATTTATCCATTTACTGTTTATTGTTTGATAATTTTCTCTTTTAATTTTCTATATTTTCTGTTCTATAAACGGCTTTACCATCT